CATATTTTACCCTTTTCTCTTTATTCTCTCATATATATATATATATAATCTTCCACTGAGCTATACCCCAAACCTTTTCATTTTGTTTTTGGAACAGGGTATTAGTATTATGCCCAAGCTGGCCTCAAACTTGTGATCCTCCTGCCCCAACCTCTTGAGTAGCTGGGATTACAGACATATGCCACCATACCCAGCTTATCTGCTTTTTTAAAAGTAAAAACAATGTGCTTTCTATAGCAAGTTGAAATAATAGCAGAATATGAGATGTAAACAACCCTGAACCCCTCAGTCATACTCCCCAGGATTACCACGCTCCATGTACATCCTCTCACATCCTCCCTGCTATGCCCTTTTTAAATAAAATTGGAATTTTATCATCCAAACTTCATTTTTTTAAGACTGTGTCATGAGCAGTTATCCTTAATACATTTCAAGAGCAATATTTTTATTGGTACATTTTAATTATACATAATGGTAGGATTCATTGGTATCGTATAAGCACATAAGATAATTTGATCAATCTCATTTCCTAGTACTTCCCCCTTCCTCCCCAGAGTTCCTCCCTCTACCCTTCTGGTCTCCCTTCTATTTTCATAAGATTCCTCTTTTTTTTTTTTTCTCTCTAGCCATATAAGAGAAAACATATAAGCTTTGACTTTGAGTCTGCCTTATTTCAAAGAGCAATATATTTTTAACAGCTGCATTGCTTTTTAATGCATAGTATCATAACTGAATTTTCTCAATAGTATGCTGTCATTTCTTAGTATGTGTAGGGATTGGTTCCAAGGCCTGTTGTGGGTATCCAAATCCTTGGATGGCCAAGTCCCATATGTAAAGTGGTAGGATATCTACACATAACCTACATCTCTCTTCCCAGATCCTTTGAGTTACTCTGTATTACTTATCATACTTAATACAATGCAGAGGCTCCATCAACAGCTGTTACACAATACTGTTTAGGAAACTGTGACAAGGAAAAATGCCTGTGTGTGTTCAATACAGATGTAGTTTGTTGTAGTTGTTGTTGTTTAATACTTTTGATCCTTGGTTGAATCCAGGGATGTAGAGTCTGTGGATATGGAGAGCCAACTGCACATTATTGTTAAGAAAGTTGTACATTTTACTAGTTTGTCACCTCTATAAATAGACTTCTATTCCTTTTCTTGTTCACTGTAAGGTTCCTCCTCATCCAAGGTGCACATATGTATTTTAATCTCCCCCCAACCCCTGGGATTGAACTCAAGGGCACTTGACCACTGAGCCACATCCCCAGCCCTATTTTGTATTTTATTTAGAGACAGGGTCTCACTGAGTTGCTTAGCACCTCACTGTTTGCTGAGGCTGGCTTTGAACTTGCAGTCCTCCTGCCTCAGCCTCCTGAGCTGCTAGTATTACAGGCCTGTGCCACTACAACCAGCTATGTTAATCATTTTTGTTTGCAGATTTATTCGGATACCTTTTTTCCATCTAATCTTTCTTCAGCACTACTTATTTTAATTGCTAAAGAACTATCCAGACTGGGGCTGGGGTTGTGGCTCAGTGGTAGAGCGCTTACCTAGCATATGT